AGAATAATGGAAGGAAACAGCTATTTCATTAAAAACTTGAGTTACATAACTCAAGAAAAATTCTTATGCCAGGTCCTCATCTAGTGGATGTTGTGGTTGTGTTACCCTCCTGAAATTTAGGAACAATTGTTCATGTGGGTATCACAGTAAGTTTCATTGAGTGAGGATCTGTCTACTGAGGAGGGCAAATACATGCATTTTGAAAAAATTTATTGACTTGGTTGACTTGATCAATCTTATTCCAGGACTTCTAGTTTTATTTCTGTTTCAGCTGCAAAGCCAAGGCTCATGCAATGTGAACTACCGGTTATCAATCAAGGAGTTCACACCTTCAGTGACTGCACTTCTTTGAAGTGCTGGGAGAAACAGAAATATTTGTCATGTTCTCAAGGTGGTTTCTGAACCTTTCAATCTTATATCTAGATTACAGCCAATACCTCTTTCGTCAGCCCTTTCGTAGACTCTGAAATCAGCAGTTTAAAAAGACATTCTCAGCACAGGAAGCACAGGGGAAGCAGGACACATAATCAATCTTCAGATTCCTATGGAACCTTCTACAGGTCTTTATTTCTGTAGTCATCCAAAGGATTAGACTTCTTGGTAAAACATCTTCACCATCTCTCTCTCTGCCTTTCATTCAGTGTGCTTTAGCCCCTTTTCCTCTCTCTGGTATATTGTTACATGTTCCCTATATTTTCTTTTTAATTATTTTTATAAAATATACTACTTTTTCATTCAGCCAAGCACATTCTGCAGTGAGATCACAGCTACTTATATTCAGCATGGTATCTTTGGGAAAAAAGAAAATTAAAATGTACTAATGGGGATTATTATTTTTTTCCTGCTTTGGAAATTCAGCCAGAAAGAAAATAGCAACATCATGGCTATTATGTCTGTCATTAAGTATATGTGAAAGGCAAGGATCATGCTATCACATAACTAAATAAGTTAATATTGTCTTCTCATGCTGGTGATACCATGTTCATTGATAAGTAGAAACTGATATTTACTGTGCAGTGTTTCAATTCCGCCAGCATCCTACCCACTCCCGAATGCATGATTTGATTTACAAGTGTTCTATTTTCTTACACTGTGTTCTCCCTTTGCTTTTTGTTCCTTTCAGCCATTTCCCTCAGCTCCTGTAATAACCTTGATCTCTCCCAGTCACTTCGTTAGGCTCCTCTGGTAACCATCCTCATAGTGAGCTCTTGACAGCACTCATCAATTCTGGATGTTTCAATTAATTGAGCCAGCACCAATCTCCTGCCTGCCTCTGTTGGCTCCTTCTGCCGATGCTTCAAAACCTCCGGCAAAGCAATACTGTGGGATGGCAATAGCTCAGTGACCTCAACACAGTGAGACTGGGCCGGTAGCTTAAGCAGAAATTTTAGTCAGAAATATCCTGCCATGTCCCTTGCTCCAAATTCAATTTTCAGCTCTGTTTCTAGGGATGTGTAATAACATAGAAATCCCAAAAGACTGGGGAATTAGTAGGTTTTTGATTTTTTTTTCCTTGTTGTTACTAGTGGTATGTTATTTCCTGGACTGATGAGCTCACGAGAGAGTGAATTCAGAGGCCTTAAAAACAATGTTCAATCCTTTCTAGTTGTCTTCTACTCATGCATTTGGAATCAACATGTGTGTGTGTTTGTGTGTGTGTATGCATGCATGCATCTCTGGTGTGACCTGAAACGTCTAAGCACATTAAGTGAATTGTTCCATACAATTATTAATTGTGAATTATTATCTATGTAACAATCTAAAATAATATTTTCATGTTTTTATGAAAATACAGGTGAAATAAGGACCAAGAAACACTCTTTGCTGTAAGCTTCTCCACTGGATTATGTATTTGCTAGCAAGTGCTTTGAAATTATTACTTATATATTTGCACATTAATTTAGTATTTTTATACTTTTAACCCGATCAAATAATTTGAACTGTGGCCCAATTCAAATACAAATTAAACCCACTCTTCATCTGCAGCTGTTCAGTAAGATGTCACCAGCATTTAATTCAAGGTAGTTACCTCTAATTAGAAAAAAATTAAACCTTAAAGTAGTTGAACATTGAACTCAGTTATTGGGAGGCTAAATGCACAATCCACAAACCTGTATCTCCAGCAGATGAAGATATTAAGATATTGAAGTGAATACAGATAAACACTTTTTTACAGAAAGAAAATGCAGTCTTATCTAAACTATTCTGTTACAGTCTTTGGTGCTGTCTCAGAACTGGTTCACCTTGAATACACACACACACATTTATATTTACATGAAGTATCATAACCAAACATGTCTTTCTACCTAGCTTGTAAAACTGAATTTGGTGAAAATATTCATCCTCAAATTCAAAGATCAGAGATGCAAGATCTGATCTCATCTTTGTATATTGTCAAGACATTTTTATGGATGTCATTCTCATTATGCTAATAATTGAGTCATTTGTATGTTTGGTCTAAATCCTAACCAATCCATATAAGATATTTCACATTCAATAAATAGAACCAGTGGGAACTGTGTAAGTTAGTCCAAAAGAAGAATTAGAGTTTAATTAATAAACTTGATCAGAAAGTCTTCTATATCTTTTATTTCCTTTTTTTATTTCTTCTTGCTAGCAAGCAGAACTGTTATGTAAGATAGTGTGGTGCAACTGAGTGCATTTTGCACTTGAATAGGGAACAGCACTTTTGCTGTATGTGATAGTTGCCTCACTGTAAAATGTGCTGTTTCCCTAGAGGAATCTGGATCTCACAAACAATGGAGATGAGTGCCTTTTATGTAGTTTATAACTTATTGTCAGTGAAAGAATGATCCAATTAGTAAGTGATTAATCACAGGCTCCTTCAGGTCTCAAACTGTGTGTTGTAAGTTTATGGAATGAAAAAGAGTATTTCATGCACATATCTTCACCTAACGAGTAATAACCACCTGGGAATGGGAACTACATTTAAAAAAAAAGAACAAGGGCAGCAGCACAAAGTGCTAATCACTTGATTAATTTCTGTTGCCACTGAGAAACATACCTTTGCCAAACAATCATAATTATAGTGGCATTAGAATTAATTAATTAAATAATTGCCAACAAACAGCAAAGAGAATATTCAGAATCTCCATCCTAACCAGTATTTTGGCATTTCAGCAGCATACAAAAGTAAAGTTTCTTATACAGAACTTAATTCTGAGATATGAGGCATAAGAAAATGTTCATAATTTCAAAGAATTAAAATGTTAAAATGCTGATTTTTAGAGAAACCTAATTAACATGAAAAGTGAAATATTTTATTTAAAAAAAAAATCCATTGTGAATATTAAACACAAAATCCTTTGAATAAGGTAAAAAGTTGTCATATTTTTATTTTGTGTATATATAAATGTTTGTAGCATGTACATTTCACCATGATTTATCAAACACTTTTATACGGGCCTGTTTTTATATATTTTCCAGTTTTCAATTTTTCAGTCACTGAAAGTATCTGTCAATTTTTTCTTGTTTCCAGGCTAAATGATAATGACTAAAATTTAGATAAGGAGTAACCTTATGATGCTTAATTTTGAAAGGAAGGTAGAATACAACAATGGAATATTGATGAAGTAGATGATGAAATATGATAGAAAAACACAGACTTTTCAGTGTTGAACGATAACCCTCACATCTTTTCAGTTTTGCAATAAAATATCAACAGATATTCAATACAGAAAAGACGGAAGTGTAAAAAATTACTAAATTTAAAATTTAAAATATCTGTTTTCAGGTGAAGAAGCAGAATAAATCTCCACCATATTTAAGTGGTTTGTACCTTAAATTAGTAAAACAGTACCTTTGGGTACCTTTTCTCAAAGTGTGGAATCTTCATGTGTGCTTCTTGAAATCATATTTTGTATCTTGATTGTTTAAATAATGAATTCTTGGTGATAATGATCTTGATCATTAATAAGGATAATGATTAATAATGATAATGATCTTGGTGTACTGTTTGTAGTTTAGCTGCAAGACTGACCTAGGTACCCTGGGTTCACTTCATAGGCAATAGAGCAAACTGGGATTGCATCAACATGATTCTTTTCATCCCAATGCAGACAGCTAAAATATGTGGACTAAAAGCATACATTTCTCATGTTCAGTATAGCATTGTAGTTCCATCAGATAAATGCTTGTTCTGGCATGATCTGCCTTCAGTAAACCAATAAAAATAAAGTATTCCTTTGTTTGGAAGTCTGTCTTTGTGGTCCTGTCTGTAATTATCAACCACAGGTGTTATATGGCAGAAAAGACAATGAGCTAATGACTTGAAGATTTCTCAAATCATGTAATTACTGAAAAGCTGGTTTCACTGTCTTTATTTATAGTTCTTCTCTAGTTGATTTTCAAACAATAAAAATCAGTAGACTGATTTATCAGTGTTCTGTATTCACAGTTAAACAATTGAGACAGCTATTTTACCAAAAAACTAAACCACAGAGAGCTCTACTGTCCTTCATGGTACCAAACTTCTGTTGTGCTTGACCTTCAGATGGTAACCACCAACAGATTTCTAAAAGTGTTTTTCTAAAAGAATTAGATGAATAAATGGCAGCTCTGCACTTGCTTGCTGAATAACAGCAGAAGTAATAGTTTTGCTGAATTTATTCAGACAGCCTGGATAATGTCATAAACAGGGAAACTTCTCAGAGCAAAAAATCCAACTTTTCATGTTGATGGCATATAGACCTCTTTTCATTTTTCATCCATCTCTTATTTTAGAGGGACAGTAGATCAGTGCATCAAGGCAATTCTAGACTTCTCAGAATTTATTAAAATCTAATCAAAATATTTCTTAGTATTTTTACTGGTTGGCAAACTGCTAACCATCATCAGAAGAAAATAGTTAGGATTTTTTTCTATTTTTTTGTGTGATTCAGAAATACATTTGATAGTTAGTAGTGATGTCAGAACACAAGCCATTCCTACGTATAAGTCTATGAGATTCTCTTTTTTCCAGAGATCTAGCTGAAATTTTATTTAGTGCAGGGAGACTTCATTACTTTTACTGAGTTTTATTTCAGTCACTGTTGAAAAAAAATTACTTGTTTGTCAGTCCTGATTTGTTCCAATTTGATTCACTACCACCTCTAACTTAAATGAAACTGAGAAGGTGCATCAAGAGAAAGCAAAAGTGCTGGAGGACTTATATAGCATTTGAATGAGTTCTGTGAAACTCATTTTAGACAAGAGAGAGGTGACACCCTTTTTCTGGTTACTGAGTAGGACTTATTTCTCCTGTTTCTCCTGAAAAAGCTGTGTACATTGCTGAGGACTGTATTAATGGGTATTTAGAGGAGGTACAAGTCATGCCAGTATTTCTGTTGCATGGGCTGATCTGAATTAACCAGGACATAGAGGGTAAGCATTCCTCCTTTACATTGTGATTTATCAATATATCATTTTTATTAACCATTACCTTAAGATCAAGACAGAAACACAGCTGATCAAAAATGCAGATGGTTGCTTTGTTTATAGTAGGCACTAGACCCATATAGTGGTCTAGTGCATACTATATGACATATTTATAAGACATAGTCCACAGACTGAACTGGTTTTCATTTGTTTCTGGGAACACATATAGTCTGCAAGAGTGTTTTCATTCACAGAACTTGACCTTGTACACAATTAGGGCTTGTTACAAAACTCCTTCTGTTAAAAAGACTTTCTTGCTTAAGCCTTTTTTCTTTTTTGTCTGAGAAAGTTTTAAAGCCTTCGGATGAGAAAATATTCCTTGGGTCAGTGACACAGTTCCTGGTCATACTGAGTCATGGAAAGAGGATAATAACTGTGTTTTTTGGAAGAAATCATTGAATATGATTGTTAGCTATGTTATTAATTTTTGTAAAGATTTTTAGCTTTGATAAGAATTTAATATTGTGGGTTGCAGTGCAGGAATGTTTTCTTCATGTGGTGAATTAAATAGACTTAATCTCTTCCTGCTTCAAAGTTTCTGCCTTCACACAGTTTAAGTATCTTTCACAAAATTTTAACATGAAACTATTATGCTGTGATCTGATTGCAGTGGGAGTCCTGTGGTACAGATAACCCAGAGTGGATGGACACAAGGTTTGTGTTTCTCATACAGTTTCCCATTGTTTTGTGTCTGTGGTCATTTAGATAGAATTCACATCTAACTATCTGACTTAGATCATGTTACCATGTAATTTATCTTTCAATTTATTCACTGATAAAAAATTGAAATCATACAAGCAGGCCCTCCACCTAGTCCAAGGTTCCTTTAAAGAAGAAGTTAAGATGGCTGAATCAATTGAAATAGTTTTTCAACATTTTGTTGCTTTAGCTTTTAGAAAGACAGCAAGACAAAGAATGGAGGAAAGGGGAAACTCTGTGACTTGAACCTCAAAGTAATGTCACTTAAAAGCTTTTGTTTTCATGAGCTGTGTGAAATGGAAAAGCATTCCAGAATATGGATGATACCTCAGAAAGTTATTTGAAGTTCTCTTGACTGTCAGGGAAAGTATAAGCAGAGAGAGAGTATCATTTTAGTCCCAAAGAAAACACTTAATTTCCCTTTTGTTATTGAATATTAGAATTGCACAAATTGATTCAGATAATTTAAATTAATTTCCCCCAGGCAGGATTTGGGGTGGTGGTTCCAAACTTACCTGATATTAAAAGAGGAATTTGCCAGTGAAATGAATCTAAGTGTGCAAGTTGCAGCAGCCTTGAGACAGAAGCAAATTCCACACTGGTAAATAATGTAAGTTTATAAACCTGTTTATTCTGGCTAAGTGGAAAAGTACATTGATATCTCCCTTGATAAATATTTGAGACACTCATTATCTTTTAAAAGAATCCTATCTAAAAGCAGAAAAAGAAAAATATTGTAATTTTTACTCCATTTCTCTTCTGCATTTTTGAAAATATTTTTTCTGCAGCAGAAGGCTACAGCACCTTGGGTGTGGAACTCTGTGCTTGTCCAAAGCAGACTGAAGATCTGCAGAACAGATTCTGTAACAGGAGCTTCCACAGTCAGCACAGGTAGGCAGTAAATATAGGGCTACAATGCTACTTCTCTTTTTTCTCTTCAGAGCTGAATTATTTTTTTTGTGTTTAAGTTACCAAGATAACTTATGTAAATTTTGTACTCTATGTGGAAATACATCTCTTTCCTTTCCCTTTTTTTTCCCCAGTTTTTCCTCATATGATTAGATGTTTTATGAAGGAAAATGCCTCTGTACAGAAATAGATTGGCATATTTTCATCCCTGGAGTAGGAGACAGTTTGTGCTGAAGGAAATCTGGAAGTACTGCCCTTAGGATTGCAAACCACAGTCATTCAGGCTCATGTGCATTTTAATAAACATGCAAATTGAGTTTGACTTCATGTTTAGTCGTCATATCCCTGTGTTAATAACAAAAATAATGTTGCTTTTAAAATATTTTCAAATAGGGCTCTTCTGACCTAAACTACAGATAGTTAGAAAGGTGGCCTGCATCCTTCATTCAAACTTCAAATAAATGGTATTCAGGGCTCCAACTAATGCCAATAAAGAACAAAAAACTCATACACATTCCTCCAAAGAGTACTCAATTTAGAAATAAAAAGGAAAAAAATCCTATAATAACAATAACTGCAAACACTAAAATAGCAATAATGACAGTAATAGTAATAATACTACCTAGACCCAAGCAAAATACACTGTGAAAATGCAGCAATGCAAGTAATACCCTTTTGCATTGTGGTAAATAACGACAGGTTAATTCCTCATGAAGGTGCAACATTATCAGTTGCACTAAAATACATACATTAGGCATATATAGAAATATTCTCCTGTCTCACCAGTCTGAAGCAATCTCTTTTTCCTAAAATAGACATCAATCAATCAATCAATCAATCAATCAATCAATCTATCTATCAACATCATAACCTAAAAGCAAAACCCTGGAAAAACAAAAGTTTTTTTGGATGTAACCAACAAGAAATGTTGACAAACTAAGAGAAAAGGTGAATTCGGACTGAAAATTTTACTTTTGGCCAGTGCCCTTCATTTAATCCAGTCCTTCTCTGGTGATTAGGCCTCTTCTGTGACCTGTCATTGGCAGAGAAATTAGATCTAAAAAAGCAATATTCAAACTGTTTTGTAAAAGATCAAAGCCAAATCTATAAATCTACCCTTGAAACTGACTGCTAAATGTTGTGGATGAAATAACAGGGTTACAAAGTACATATTTTAGAAGAAAGCACCTCTCAGGTAGATGTAATTTTTGAATGGTTTCAAGGTACCCAACTTGATGAAGGCTCAGAAGTGCGAATGATGGAGTCAAGAATAAGATGTTGAAACCTTGGCAAGCTGGGTAGTAAATGTTTTTTAAGAGTTTCAACCTGAGTTCTGGACAACAAACAACCAGACTAGAGAGCATCAATTAGACTGGAAAAAAACCTACAGATCACTCCAGACTGTAATAGCTTCTGCTATTTCTTCTTTTTGTTTTCCTTATTTCTGAACATCAATTTTTAAATATACTGAATCCTCGCTCCCTACTTTATCTAAATATATGAAACATGTCTAGGAATATTCTGGACACAAAGAGCAGCTGCCATAATATAAGCTATGTTTATGCAAGCCAGAGTTTCCAAAGTGGGGGTGGCAAAACTTCCTTTTGAGAATTTTACCTGAGACCTGATGAGTACTGAATCATGCCCAGTTTTGTCTGGGAAAGCGTTAGTTGGCCAGAACCAAAGGCAAGTCAGGGACCAATCTCACAGTTAGTTGAACAGACTTGCAGGTTCTGGTGGTTGGTAAAGTCCCTGAATGCTCTTCAGTTTGTTGGCTGTCACATGCAGAACTTCATACTGAGGGCAATTTTCCTCCCTAAGCTAGTGCTGGAAAAAAAACAACTTTTACACATTTATACAGCTGCTTGAAGCTTGCCATGCTGGGTTAAAAATATTTGAGTTCCTACATGCCAACATTTTTTCTGTAAGAGGCTTCAACCTGATCCTGAGTATGAGGCACTATTTTTGTGTCTGCATTGCAATATTATCCAGTTCAATAAAAATTTCAAGTGACAATGCTTCCAGTTGTTTGATTTTGGGGCGTAGGTATCTGAATAAATGTTTACCCTGCGCTATCATTCTATCAAATAAAGGTACTTATGTGCAGGTGTAAAGGTACTTCTATGCAGTTATTAGCAGGTGTAGGTTTGTATATGCAAAAGTAAAGGCCCTAAATTGCATGATTAATTATCTTAGTCACAGCATAAGCCTGTGTGAACCTGAGATATTGCCTCTGCTTTATAAGACAAATTCAAACCTGTCCCTCTTCACCAAAATTCACATTCATTGTGTCCATTCAAACCTGATTTTTTTTCTCTGCTTCTGTCCTAACTGCCTGAATCCACAGCCAAGCTTTTAACAAGAGTTTAACACTGTGCCATTGTCCTACATAACATATATCAGGAAAGTAGTTAACAGGCAAAAAACAGCAAAGAGGAAAGAAACCAACATCACTAACTCCAGCTTTCAAAAACAACTGTATCATATTTGCTAGTAAGATCCACATTTCTCTTGGCCAACATGCCATGCTTCAACTTCTAGACCTAATTGGACTAAGCAACAAATCATACAATATTTAATTACTCATCCAATTAATATCTTATTTTTCTGATTATACCCATAGATATGAAGGAGGAAAAATCCAAATAAACTTATTTTCATTATGAACAGAATTGTTTTCAAAGAGAATCATTTCCTTGAGTCATCAGTAGAACTTTAGTTTTTATGCCAGAATTACTCAGCCTGAGACTGACTGCCTAAGAAACTATTTTTTTTTGCCATTAATAGGCAGATGCAAAATGTTTTTAAAACTATCACTTTGGACTAATTAAGTGGAATATTGGACTCACTTCATAATACTGCTCTGCGAGTTTTCTTTAATAGAAGTTCCTCTCCTATTCCAAAATGGCCAATTAGATAAGAGTAACAGCTGTTGGGGTGGCAGATGCCAGTACTAAATTGATGATAAAAATAATGACTTTTCTTTTTCAAAAAGGACACATTTTCACATCGTGTGGTGGAAAATATGCAAAAAAATGGGAAGGCGCGGGAAGGGAAGGGAGCTGCCAGTGCTGGCTCACATTCAGCCTTGATGCCAGCCAGCGCCCCCAGATCTCCTTGTACAGGGCTGAAAAAGGTCTGAAAAGACAGTGGAAAAAATAAATGCTTTAGTCTTGACATACACCTAAGATACATAAGATATATTTCAATGATTAGTAATCCCATGTAACAGTTTCAAAGCCAGTTGTGTGTCTGACCATGTTGTTCAGTCTCCCTGTGGGCAGTGGGGACCATGCCTGTGCTTCTCTCATGATGCAGTCCCACTGCTCACCCTACTTTGGGGCTGACTCAGTTCACAATCTTCTGCTTCCTCTGCCAAGTCCTTGGAAGACTGAGCTAGGTTTTCACCCTGTTAAGGCTTTCCTGACAGTGCCCAGTTTGAAGTTTCTTTACATTTCATGAAAAATTTTTTACACAGTTTGACATTTTTGCTTCAGCCAAAAAATAGCTATTAATTCCTTGTTTGCCTTGAAGATGCATTTTTCCATGACTAAATAACTTCTTTCCAACTGTATCCATTATTCCACGTTTTTTGCCCCCATGCTTAGAGGTCTGCTTAGGCATGCTTTGAAGGCCTGCATAATGAAAGTGCTATGTGTGACTGAGAGTGCTGACACGAGTCAGAAATAAAACCATTATATTACTTCCTAAGGCATTAATTTATATCTAAACAAAATGTTCACTTTAATTTTGTCCTCTTCTGCATTATCATAGTTCTACACTGGTCTTCCAGCAGATAGAGGAAATCAGGAGGTGACATTTTCAACATCATTTTATCATAAACACATGTGTCACTCAAGATACACCTATCTATGTAAAGCAAAGAAGGCTAGCAGAAATGGTAGAGAAAGGCATTCATCTCACAAGTGACTGTCCACACAACTTGCTGAACAGTTCATACTCTGACAATAAAATGCATTTATTTATTATGAACAGGTGTGATTTGGAGGAAAAGAACCTCCTCATGATTAAAGGAATAATTTTGGCAAGTATGTGGATTGCCTTTCTGTTTGTTTATAAATGTTGGGCTACTAAACAACTTTATTAATTAAGTATAAAGCAAGCTCTGTCATGACAGTTTAAAGAACCTATTTTACAGTTTGGTTAGATTTTCAGTATATGTTAATACCTGGCTTCATCATTTTAATGATTAAGGATTGATCCCACTCTTTTTTCATGCAAATGGTTCTTTTGTAATTATGGTGTTTTAGCCTTTCTGGCCTTCATCGTATTAAAATTTATATTACTCCTTTGCTTTAGAAAACAACTCAATTTTACATTTTGGAACTGAACAAAGGGGAAATTATCTAGCTGCTCCTTTGACAATATTACACTCTAATTTTTCTTCAGCTTTAAAATTTATTGCATGTTTATATCCATGAGCAATGAGTCTTAATATTATCTTGACAAGCTTATTTTTGTATTTGTCAAAGTCCAAGGGAGTAGAGAAGATCACTATGGCAGGTGTTTTACCTCGGACCTTTTAAATAGACCAAGACACAAGAAAGGAGAACTTAGATCTGTCCAAAATTTCTATTACTGTCACATTGTTCTACTTTCTGAAGAAGGAAACTTTCAAATGTCTTTTTATTGTTTCAAACTAGTGGCTGCTTATACTCAAATGAAATTTTTAAAGCATCAGTATGTGTCTGTTGGCTAAATGAATCTTCTTTAATCAGAATAGAGACATTTCTTCCCTGTTTCAGATCAATATTTCAGCATTTCCAGTCAGCATATTAGACATTATGCAACATTTATGCCTTCATGTGCCTTTCTCTAAGAATTGTTATGTATGTTGTTCAGAGTAAGAACTCTGAGGCAACAGATCAGTCATATAAAACAGAGTCAAAAGACTAGGCAAAAATCTGACAAATTTGCTGATAAGATAAATATCTTGTGCATGAATAAACTCCAGTATTGAA